CAACACTCACTAAACAAGACAATTAAAGTAAACAGTGAATGCAATATGCTTTCCTACTCAAACTTAGTAGCTCATTTTTGACACTATTCCAAGCAGTGCAGAAGCTTTCAGCCTGTGCCAATAACTTTTTTTGCCTATGAGCTGTAAAAATAAAAATTCAAAATATTTTTGAAAAAATATATGTACTTCTTATAAATCCTTTTCTAATAAATTCGTTAAATGGCTGATCTACTTCAGTCTTATCAATTCGAAGATGACACATTTCATACAAAAATTGCTGTAATCGTATTATATCAGGAAGACAAGTCAAAGCTTCAAGCAGTTTGACCTTAGAAATATAATTTGATCTATTGTAATACCATTAAAATTATACCTGTTTGAGGAACTGCCTCAGTACATTCAGATCAGCAGATCTGGTATCATTTTCAAGAGAGAGAGAGACATGGTCAATAGTAATTAATGGTCGATAGATCCACAAGTGTGGCATTATGCTTTTGCTTATTACAGGAACAGTTTCATAAATCATCTCTAACAGTTTTCTGTGGTCTATTATTTACTATAAATAATGATAGAACTTGCATTATTTTACCTAAGTCAGAATCTTCAATTATTAATTGTCTCCCTCTTTCAATGTGTTTTCCAATTAAATATTCTTTTCCCCTTTCTGTTTGTACTTCAATGTTCTAAAAAGATAGGTTCAGATCATTTTATTGAATAACTATAATGTACTGGTTTAATGACAATTTGATTAAATTTAATTTCCCAACTTTTCCTATCTTTACGAGAGCAAAGTTTAGAATCAAAGTCTATTAAAAACAATTAGACTAATGTGAAAGCAAGTCATTGTTTATAACTATCTTACCAATATTTGTTTCTAAGTTGGCTATTAACATGTTGTGTACAATTATATGAAGAAATAGGATGCAATCATCAAAGCTGTACTGTGTAGCTCTACACAGTGTTTGTATATCTACTTCAAGATGATGCCAGAAGTAGTTCAACAACCAACAAAGCTCCATTGGTTTAGCATTAGTAGTTAGATCTGAAGTAACATCTTGAAGAGCTTTGCATGCTGCCTATAAATTTATCACTAATTTAAAGCACATAACAAATTTAGCACAAACTTCGTTGATAGAACTAGCTATCCAAACACATGTAGCATTAATTAAAAGTCTGATAATACAGTTAGACAAAGGAGATAGATCTCGTTGAGGCAATGGGTCAGTAGTTCTTGAATTAGGATTTCCAAGAGTGTGACCTTTTTTTGTAAGTTCAGTGCTACTACATTTGCAATGATACATTCCAACAATATAATTAACCTTACTCTTTAACTTTAATGTTTCCTTCCTTAGGTACATTGTAAGATTTTCCTCCAATTTCAGCACCACAAAAACATTTTTTAACATCTCCAACAACTTGTCTACCACACTAAATTCAAACATTCAATTAATTTATTTATTATAGGTACACTTAGCTTACATTTTGAACAAAATAAGTATGTCCATTGGGGCATTCTACAATATTGAAAATAATATCAAATACAAAATAATGATCATACATACTCCACTGCGTATCAGTAGTACCAGCTGTAGCATCAACTACTATATCCAGTATGTCATCATCCATTGTTGGCCAATACATTTCCTATAAATATTAACAAGATAGCAATAACTAGACGAATGTAAAACATTAAAGGGGTGAGCCTAAGGAAGCAAAGCAATGTACATACAATAGATCTTGACAGACAAACATACAATACTCAAGCATGATTATGCAACAGATATTAGAGTGATGCAACTAAGCAGGCTCAGAGCTCATGGAATTATGGATGTAGTTCTTCATGATAATCTACCTTTGAATTCTCTGCAACAATTAAAGCTACCTTGCTTATAGCATTTAGCAAGCATTAAAGTTAGTTATAAGCAGTCATTGCACAAATGATAAAGCTAGATAGGCAACTGTAGCACTATAGTTTATGGCTTCTTGCATGCTCCAAGTTAGTTCCACTTCAGACTCAGGCTGTGACTGACATTCACTTCATCAGAGTTATTTACATCAATGAAGAACATGGCATATCTGCTTTTTTAACCTTCCTTGCTGCATTTGGACAGCAGTACACTAGAGTCAAATCAGTCTTGCAAGAATTTTCAGTTATGATACTGAGCCGCCATTTTATTTTACTGTGACCACACACACCTGTTTTTAATGAAAGATTATCAAGTTTACTAGACGAATGTAAAACATTGAAGGGGCGAGCCTAAGCAACTAAAGTAATGTACATACAATAGATTTTGACAGACTAACAATACTCATGACTGTGCAACTTAAGCAGCTCAGAACTTGATGGAACAGTGTACTTTACTACCTACATGTACCTTTGTCATCAATTCAAGTTTAGCATTTAAGAAGCATTAAAGATAGCAAGAAGCAGTCACTACACAAATGATATGGCTAGATAGGCAACTGTAGCAATGTAGTCCAAGTTAGTTCAGGCTGAGACTGACATTCAAAGTAATTCACATCAATAAAGATGGCATATCTGCTTTCTTAATAGACTGAGTGTATTGCCGCCGATATTGCGGTGGTAATTTGAGTCATAAATGTACTGTTGACACCGATCGGTCGCAGATTGGTCAATCGATGACTATAGACACCGACGCGGGTGTGGCAATTACCTTAAAGCCACTATTATTTGCGAGTACTAATTTTTGTGTTTTTTGCGAGTGGCTTTAAAATCGCAAAAATTAGTACTCACATTTATTAATAATTTAGGTTTATTAACAGGTATTAATTGGGAAAAAAGAGCAAAATCGCAAAAAAATTTGTACACGCTAAATCAGTACCGTTAACAAATAACAAAAATTAGTCTACTTAAAAATAAGTGGCTTTAAGGTAAGTTGGCGGTGCTATCACATCGACACATGCTCATAATGGCAGCAGCAAGTGATGATCGAAGCATTGGTAGATCCTTTAATACTTTTTCTGATGTGGAAACATTTTTATTGTCACTGAAAACCCAGAATCACACTTTGCATATTTTCAATAGCCAGACTTTGATTGATTACAACAAAAAACACAATAGTGGCTGCGTAGTTGACCAGTTGACAAAGAGAAGTTCAAATACACATATTACAGCGTCAGATGTGTACACTTTGGAAAGCCTAGACACAGAGGTAAAGGCATCAGGCCAAATCAACACACATTTTTGATGGATTGTCCTGTTTAAGTAACCATCTCGTATGATAGGTATGTGTTTTGTTTTTAAATGAACCACATGCCATGTAGTCCTACTTGTAGATTTTTGAATAAATTAATACTGAGAGAGTGTCAATTAGATCACAATCATCGAATTGGAAAGGAAATTATTCGTCATTATCCGTCAAGTTGTCAACTAAACGATGAAGAAAAACAGAAGTGGCATCATTGCTCAC